TCTTAACCGCATCCATGTTCTTAATCCATTTTGCTTTCATTTTTATTTAATGAATTTTGTTTTATTGTTATTAATAATGGGGTTTTGTCTTAAAATTGAAACGTCCAGATATAAAAACAAATTAAGTGAGTTTCCTGTTGTTCCTTATAACTAGAAAATACTGTCTCTTTTTAACATTGATTACGATGTTGAGTTAAGTGACATTTTAGTTTTGTTTTTTACTAAATAAAAAAATTTGTGTAAGAAAGGAAAAGAAAAAGTCGTGCACCTAATTTCGGACAACCCACCTTTTCTTCAGTTTATCAACCATTTACTATTTCCCGCTTCAAGCAACATAATCAGTGCTTTGTTTCCCTGTTTCCTGGTAAGATCTTTAAATTTTTTTTCTACTTTATTTTTTTAAAGATGTTTTCAATATATATCAATTGTGACTCCTCTGGCAGAACTTCAACATACGAGATTTTATTTTCTTAATCTTTCTAATTACATATAAGCTCTTGGCACCTATTGGCACACACATTGCACACACCAATTTCTTAACCGCATCCATGTTCTTAATCCGTTTCCTTTTCATTTTTATTTAATGGATTTTGTTTGGAAAAATTGGCGGATCTACCCAAAACTTTACATACGTCGTCAATTCTACCCTATTTTTTTTTGGTTAGCCAATATTTCCCTAAACTATCAAACCGTTAGCCGATTTTATCCAGTTTGCTATTTTCCGTCTAAATTAATGGAATTCTATTTGTTTTAATTACTAAAACACCCTAGTAGTTTTAAAATTTTATAAAAAGAACCCCAAAAATTTACAAAATAGTCTCTTTTCAATTTTTATTTAAATTTTTCTTTTTTTATTTCTTTTTAATATTTTTCATAACAATAAAAATATAATATATGATCTTTTAAATAAATAATTTATTTTTAACACTACATTACAAAATTATAGATATACATTTGTAACTCATGATTGATTTACATAAACATATTAATTTTTTTAATAATATGGCTAGATAATAATGATATTATTCTTTTAATCCGTCGTTTTCAATTTAAAGAATAAGATTTTTTTGACTAAAACTAATTTTTTACAAAACAATAAAAACATTTACCATAGTTTAAAAAAAATAGATATTAGTACATTTTAATTTATTGCAAATTAACTAAACAGACTATAGATTGTATTATTCAATTAAAAAAATTATTAAATTAAAATATAGGGGACTGTCTAGTGTTTAGGGTGTTAAGTTTCATGAGATTAGATATAAGATTAATTGTCACCAAAGTATTTCTAACCAGGAGAGTGATTTTATCCATGTCTGAGCCGGGTCCACTAAAGGTAAGAGGGTTGCATTGGATGGTTCGGTGATATAAGATATGAGATGATTAAAACTGTGTTCGAGGTTCTATTCTCACTGGAGAAATCTATTTTTTTTAATGTAAAAAAAAAGTGGAGTCCAGTATTGGAGTAGATTTTTTTTTTTATTTTTTTTTAAAACAAAGAGTTCCTGCTAAAGTTAGATATATTAATTCTCAAAACATTATCACAAAATGTTAAACCCTCGCAGTAATAAATATATATATTTTTTATTAAATATTTTGTACCATTTTTGTGAATGCCACGACACTATATTCTTGTGTTGGGCCAACATAGAAACGAAATAGGTGTTTTTTTTTTACTTTCTTTTTGTACTTGACCTTTATGATTTCTTTTTAAATTTTAAAATAAAATCTAAAGTCAGTTGAATTAAATTGTAATACATTAAAGTATACCAATAGATTCTTTTTTAATCTATGCGAATTGTTTAATTTTTTGGTGAAAAATCAGTATTAGTTAAATAATCTTATTCTTTAGATTGAAAAAAATAGATTAAAAAATAGTATCATTATTGTAAAACCATATTATTAAAAAATTAATATGCTTATGTAAATAAAACATGACATACAAATATGTAACTAAAAATTTGTACATTAAAGTTTAAAAATAAATATTTTTTTAAAAGATCATATAGTATATTTTTATAGTTATGAAAATAGTAAAAAGAAATAAAAAGCTAAAAATTTTAAATAAAACTGAAAATAGACTATTTTATAATTTTTGTAAATTTTTGGGGTCATTTTTATAAATTTTTAAAACTATTAGGGTGTTTTTATAATTAAAACAAATAGAATTCCGTTAATTTAGACGGAAAATGGCAAATTGGACAAAATCGGCTAACGGTTGGATAGTTTAGGGTAATATTGGCTAACGAAAAAAGAATACGGTAGAATTGATGAAGCATGTAAAACTTTGGGTAGATCCGCCAATTTTTCCGTAAATCAGTTATTTGTATTACTTTTATTATTTATGAGTAAGTTGGTACACCAAAAAATGCTCAAAGGTATTAAAAATTTTAATTATCTGTATCTATTATCAACCAGAGAATAGATAAGAATAAAATAAAAACTCCAGAAATTGTAAATTAAGGAATATTGGATATTTTCTGGAAAAACGAAATAGAGAATAACCGGACAATAATTATATTTAATTACCGAATTATTGTCTATGATTAATCAATCACTTTAAACTGTTTGTTTACATTCCTGCAAAACCATTTCAGAGTAGGTTAATCCCCTCAAAAACTTAAATTAAGTAGTTTCATAATATTTCATCAATGCAAATACTCCCTCCGGTCCTTAATATATGGCATTTTGATTTATCCTACGTTTAACCTAGTACGTATTTTTAATTAACCAAAAAAACCTTAAAAATATTTTATAACGATCAAGAGAATACGACGAATGTGAAAATATATTTTTAATATTTTTTCGTCAAGTAAATATGAGTACGAGGTGAAACCTAGGACAAATCAAAATGACTTATATTAAGGACCGGAAGGAGTATTTTACTTTTTTATTATAAATAGTTGGTTTTTTCGGTAAATCAAACCATTTACGCGTTCCCGCTTCAAGCAACATAATCAGTTTCTTCATTTCCGTGTTTCGTGGTAAGATCTTTAAACCATTTTCTTTTTTTTTTTTAGCCTGAGTTTTCTTTTGATTCATATACTTCTTTTGTTGTCTTAAAAGTTAAAATTCTTGAAATACAATAACAAATGTTTCAGTGTTTCTTCAAGCACCGGAAATCCTTGAAATACAATAACAAATGGCATCAACGGGAGCAGTTTCTTCAAGCACTACATCAGCGGCGGCCAGTGCAACCAACGTGACGGCGTTCGGTTCTGATTTCCCTGAATCCGCCACTTTCAAAGCGTGCCGTCTTCAGATGCTGCCTTGTCGTCCACAGCATACCAACAGACGGTTGTGGTGGCGCTGGAGGCCCCGACCGCTGCGGGAGATGCTGCGAGGCCGAGGTCTGGGAGAACAAGAACGGCCGCTGGCACAGAAGGATCGGTTGAATGCACGGCCACGCAAGCGCCACCGCTTCCTACGGAAAATGTTACGGTGGCCACTCCACCACCAGTGGGCGCAAGGGGACTTCAGTCCCAGACAGCGCCGCCACCGCCGGTTTACTCGATGGGTGGAGCATATCGAAGTGGTTTGTTGAGAACCGGAGGGAGACCTTATGCTTCAACCAGCAGAAGGCAACAACGTCCTGAAGTGGAAGCATCTGGTATAGTCCTTTTTTGTTTCATGAATCCTATCTTCTCCTTGTAAAAAATAAAAAAATCTATGATTATTTATTGGTTTTAATTTTTTGATCAGGTGTTTTTCAGTTTTGTTTTGATAAAGCTACATTTTGTTCTTTTTTTTTTGTGGCTTTTTGACTTTGGGTTGGCCTTTTAGTTACCTCAAAAAGGCTTGAGAAATTTTGCGAAAGAAAAACAAAATGAAATCTGAGGATCTGTTTCACAAGATTCACAGAATCTTGGTGTAATATGTGTTTTTTTTTAAAAAAAAAAATTATTCCACTAGTATCTCATTTCGTTTATTTTAATTAATTCTTGGGGTTAAATCTTATAGTTAAGTTTGTAGTAAAAATAAATCCAAACTCTATAATAATTTTAGAAAAAAAAATAGATCATTTTCAAATTTCTAATAATAGGGTCCGTTCACTGTGTTATTATTAACTGGAAATGAGCTTATCTTATATATAGTGCTACTAATTCATTCCTTTTGTTTTTTGTCATTTTATGTATATTCTCCATCTTACATTCGCAAAGTTTTAAGTTTGGATTATTTCCGCAAAAAAAAAAAAAAATGTTCCCTTCAAAAAGAAACTTTGCATTTCCTTAAAACTTTAACTCCTTGTACTAGTTTCCTTTCACTTCTCTCTGATTTCTGTAATTTTAGTGATTGTCTGATCACTGTCAAAATCAGTTATAAATGTGAAAGTTCGCTTCGTCTTTGCAGGATCTTCTGGGGCCGCATTGACTGCCTCTTTCCTGTATGTTAAATTAGGAGAGGTAATTTTTGATAGCATATGAAAATTTGTACTCCCTCTGTCCCATAATTATTGTGCAGTTTGGGTTTTCATTTTTAGTTCAAATTATACTAAAAGTGAAATCTCAAACTGGACAATAATTATGGGAGAGAGGGAGTATTAATTTGTGTGGTGCATAAATTCTTTTCCGTGTGAAGTCAATAACATAAATCAAAATTTATGTTGTTAAATTGTGTTTATGATTTTTTTCCTTCTACTCATTTAGGATATATCTGCAAAAATTTTGGAATTTTTCAAGCGTTCAAAGGTCCACGGCTATTAGTGTTTTGTCGGGCACTGGCGTAATATCAAGTGTGACGATCAATCAAGCTTCATCTGGCAGAACCGCTACATTTGAGGTTCTATTCCACCTCCCCATTATGTTCTTGCCTATTTGATGAAGGGAATAGTTGAACATTAAACATCTTTATTTCTTTTTCTTTTCTTGTTTAACTTATTGTTGTTCTCTTCCATTTAGGGTCGCTTCGACATCCTATGCCTCTCTGGTTCATTTTCCATGGTTGACACTGGAGGACAACGAAGTCTAATTGGCGGTTTAAGTATCACGTGGGCCGGAGCTGACAGCCGGTTTCATGGCGGATGTGTTGCAGGTCCTGTAATTGCAGGATCACCTGTTCACGTTCAATGGACTTAAATACTCTTCTTTTTTCAATTAAGTTATATACATTTGGTTGCTGGTTAACGTTATACAAGTTCATTGATTTTGTTTCCAATGGTGTTTTTCTTCAATCAAATTCAAAGTGGTCGTTAATTGTTTCCCTACATTAATAGCTTATATTTCTGTAAAATTTCCAGTTCACTCTAAGCATACATGCATGGAATTTAATTCAATACATAAACTGGCAACCAAGTTATCCACATATTCAACCTATGCGACTTAACACAGTTTCTACTTATGAGATTAACACTTCATAGTTCTCTCTTCTCCTTTGTAGATTGTCATTGGCAGTTTCGGGGCAGATGGCGGCCGCCCAATATCAAGAGACGGCGTAGGGCCTCCTCCTCCTCCCCCTGCTCAAGCATACCCTTCTTTTGGTGGTGGAGCGATTAGCAGCTCACAACCTTTTGGAACTCCCTTTGGCTGATCTTCCAGTAGTTCCGGCAGTTTCTCCTTTCATCGTTATCCATATCTGTGGTAGAAATTGTATACTTCCAAAAGAGAGGAAATCCTAGTTGTTATTAGGTGGCATAGATCAACAGTCTCAATAAAACAAGGATTGTAGTTCTCTTGTACTTTCATCATTAGCATCCGTCAAATTTGGTCTCTATTCCAGCTTCGATTCCTTCTACTTCCAGGCATTTGCAGTGTTGTTTTGCCGTATTGGCCTATCTCTATGTTTTCCTCAAGTGTTTGATCAAAATCAGTGGAAGAGATAATAAAACCCGTGGAAGAGAAATGCTCCTTCAGAAGGGCAGTTTAGCAAAAAATCAAATGAATCTTCTTTTCCCCATAACACATCACAAAATTTAGGTGTGGAAATTGATCTAAACTCTAAAGGCTCATTCTAGCCAATGCGAGTAAACACTTCACATAATCGTGCAGACCTAAGATTACCCAAAATACCATAAAGTGTTCACAACATAAGGGCTGAGTAAGGTTAACGGTTTGTGCTTTCTTTTTACTGTTTTTTCTTCTTTTGGATGGAAAAGAATTTTTAGTAGAAAAATTCATTGAGAGAGCCATTTGAATTTTCAATATACTGTATGCAGTTTTCAAGTTGAAACCAAAATCAAACCACCACCAAAAAACATACCCAAGAAGTCTGCTGAAAAGAGCCAGAACTGCTCCGGTGCAGGGTTGATATTGATGTTTGCCTCTGGGACTTGAAATACAAAGGGCAGTTATTGCACTATTGAAGAATGTTCCGATACATTTAAAACTGAATCAATGATTCTTACTTTTGGATCTCTTCAACAAGTATCGCAACGAAAAGAAACCTAATGCGGTAGTTTGCCAAAACCACCCATTTGAGTTAGCAGGATCCACTCTTTCGGCAAGTTTCCAGGCATATATACCTTCACCAACATGTGCAGCAACAGCTAGAACAAAAACTACCCTTAACATGGGTACAGAGCGGAAGAATAGAAGACCAAAAGATCTAACTAACGGAACCGGTCCAAAATCTGGAAGGAATGCAGCAGCAAATAATAAAAGCATTCCCACAACAACGAATAGCCATGCATATATAGTTGGCCCATCCAAGCTTCTCCTTTTCCTCTCTTGCCAGTATGAAATAGTTGCGGCCATGCCCTCACGAGGACTCACCAAAGGGATATAGCCGAGCTCTTCTTTAGCCTTTAGAAAAGAGAAGAAATGAGTTACACCTACCTGTAAAGAATGAAAGATAAACAGTAAGATATTGCTGGCAAAGGAAGAACCATATACTTCCTCCCTGAAAACAAAATTAACACAGGAACTTTTTATGCTGCCACAAGCAAATAACTAACACAACCTGTTCTCATTGTAGTAATGCAATACTAAAATCTTGGTATAGTGATTCAAATTTGGGTATGAAGTCAATTATAAAGCATCTGGATGATGATGGAATTAATAGTCATCTTGCTAGACAGCTAACATATTACATTGGCTGTTGATGGAAAATATCTATCAGTGTCTAATGATCATTTCTTCAGATACAAGAAAAGTAAAAATGACGAAAAAAATTGAAAGGATATTGAAGTTGCAGATCTGAAAAAGCATAGACATATTATGTAAAGCATCATGTTATTAGATAAGTCATCCAGGGCGCACCTTGTATACTTCGGCAGGAAGCATCAGCGGTTGAGGAAGCCACTTCTGATTTAACCAAGGGTACATAATAGAGTACAATCCCCAAAAGAAATTTCCTAAAAGCAGGCCATGGGTTACTGATAAGGACCTCTTTGGGATCTCATAATCCAAACTGTTGAGTAGCGGAGACAGGAACTCAAAACTATTAACTGGATTACCTGTGAATGATACAACAATCAATTAAGAGGGACTGACAAGTTGTAAGTAAACAAACTAAGTTAACTTAAATGCACCAGAGATTGATTGAATTTATCTCCAAATTATCTAGTACTTTCAGAAAGCAAAAATCCTCCAAAGGAATATTTTTGAGCTGGTACACCCTTATAAGAGGCGAAATATACCATCAGATATGAAGTAAGGTTGTCCAGCAGCAACAGGATGTCCTCTTCCTGGAATATCATCCAAAAGTCCCATGCTAGCTAATAGTAGAGCTAACACAAGATTATCAACATAAACCCAGTCGGTTTTCACGCTAGCATCACCGATCCTGAATGGTAACAGACCCCACTTTGCCAGTGTCATGATTCTAGGCAGGTGTCTTTCTTCACCAGGTCCGTAAATTGCAGCCGGACGCACTGCACATGTGTACAGGCATTTTCCACTGTTATCCTTGTTCCTATATAAAGAAAAAAATGTCATTCTTAGATATCTAACTGCAAAATATCAGAACACCGAACTAACAAGCCAAATGTTTCTTTTATGTACATATCTAGAACCATAAAGAAATAGATTTGCCATGCTAGTGAGTATTAGTATAGTCTACTGCATGTAATATTTCATTCTCAGATGTTCAAGACAAACCTCAAAAAGAAAGTATTTTAAGTTTCAACCAATACATATCATCCATTCAGAGAGGGAAAACATTATATTAATGGAGTAATAACAAAGAAAGCGACATTTATGTACAAGACATAAGAAATGGTAAAATATGTTTCCAGAATTACATACCTTAGGGGGCGGCCATTGCTCTTCAGAACTAACTGCTCAGCAAAAGCTTTACTACGCCCATAGGGATCAACATGGCCATCCATGGGGAAGTAAGGCAGAGTTTCATTACCATTAACAATTTCTTTTCCGCCATACACGACATTGTATGTACTGACGTACACGAGTCTCCTGATACCATGGTCAAGGCAAGCATCCAAGACATGGCATGTTCCATTAATATTTACCTGATCCACTCGACCATACTGGAGCATTTCTTTCCCAGACATGCCAAAGGAGGCAAGGTGGAAAACGCAATCTGCCCCCTGTAATGCGTTATCAACATCCTGTTTCGAGCCAAGATCCCCTGAAGCCACAAAATTGATTTTTATCATTCAGATGAGAAGTCTTGCTTGCAATGCACAAAGCAATTTCACAAAGTTGACCATAAAACATCCACACACACACACACACAAAAACTACACACAACAAATTGTATGACAAGTCTCCCAAATGACCTGACAGTCAGTATATTCAGTAAAGCAGTCTTCTTTCACACCATAACTAGTCTTCTTATACAGGATCATAATGACATTCAGGTAGCTCACTTAGATCCTTCTCTACCCAAACTCGGCCTGAATTCAGACAAACAACATAAAGTAACTAGGAATATACTACCACAAACTACAGAATATACCTATCCAGTCCACCAACCCCTATCAAAAAAGACAGAGTGAGAATCACAGATAGAGAGAAACTCCACCAGAGTGGGTTAATATCAGTTTTTTTACTATGAAGCGATTCTTTCCAATTAATGAACTAACATACTTCTGGTTTTTCGAGATAGCTGCCTTACAACAAAATCCCATTATATCTAAAACAGCAAACAAGGATAGAAAACACAACATTGTCTAGATTTTAATCGACATCAGCTCTACCAGAAACCAATTTGATTTAAATGATTTAAAGCAAAAGAAAATATTTCTACTTCTTGAACTACTTCAATAATAACGCCCATCAAAAGCAAGACGCAAAAGAAAATAGAAGTTGGGCGAGTATTATAATAGACAGAAGCTCCATACAATTCAATTTCTTGTTCTTTTTGAATGTTTTCCATGGAAGAAAATTGATTTTGAGCCCCTAAACAACCACACCAAGCAAAGCCCAACAAATCAATGGGGCCAAAATTTGCACTGAATAGAAAAAGACTCAAAATTGGCGATTAAAAAAAAAAGGCCTGTGACACATTCAAAATGGTAATTGCTATGCGATGGAATTGGGAAATTGAAGGAGGGAAGAATGGAAGCCACCTTGGATGCAGTGGAAAGCAGGATTAAGACGGAGCTTGTCGGACCAAGGAGTTTGGGACTTGATATCAAAGGCGGTGACTCTCCGGGCACCTCTCCTGAGAAGCTCGAGACAGAGGGCGGATCCAACGAAGCCTAATCCTCCGGTCACCACGAACACCTTGTCCTCTATCCCTTCATTCTCACTCAGATGCATGCTGTTTCCGCCTTTTCTTTACAGTTTGGGATCTGTAATTTTGCACAAAAAGAATTGAAAGAGATATTAAAAAAATAAAAAATAAAAAATTCTGGGCTCTTGTTGAAATTGTAATTCGAAACAGCCGGCGAACAGCAATTCGATCGGTGGACTAACTGAGACTGCTGCAATGGAGGATGAAGAAGACGGTGGTGGACTAATATTTGTGTAACGTTGGATGACTCGAATTATTGACGTTAAAATCTTTGACTTTCTAAATAAGGTAAAATCGTAAATGCTTATTAGATATATTTATTATGACCATATTGATTAATCATTTATCTTTATTCAATTCCTTACATTTTTAAGATTTTCTTTTTTTTGGCAAGGAAAATAAATACTATCATTATCTGTTTCTAATCCTTTCTTATTTCAAGAGTTAATCAACAAAATTTAAATTGTCTCTCCAACATGTAAAATTTACTGGGAAAAAAAAAACTAACATGGAATAAAATCGTTCTTCACACCCAACATGCAAATTTTTCAATTACTCGGTTTTTTCCAAATTATTTTGTTAGTTTACCAAATTTTCTTTAAATATATTTCAAAACGAAAATTTAAGGAGGGAAAGTGCCATTTTTCATAAATTCAGTTAAAAGTTTAAAAGTATCATTATTGATTAAGTCTTATTTGAATAAATGGGAGAATTTGGCTTAAGGATAGTAGAACAAGTCAAATTGATAAAAAGGTTATGACTTAAAAATATTTTTTATAAAGGGTGATAGTGTATTTGTCAAAAATCACAAAATCAATATGAATCTTATAATGACATAATACCCTTTTAAATTCATAAAATACATAACACAAAAATCACTCCTCTGGCTCTTTTCCCTCGTCAATCATCATGATTTGGGATTTTGCAGAAAAAACAGTGACGAAACTTAATTGGGGTAGTATTAGCAACATCATTTTGATAAATCAAAAAATGTAATAATTTTAGCAATAACATTAGTTTGACCTAAATTCATCCTAGCAATTCTGTTCCTTGAAATCTTAATTGGGGTTTCTTCCATATATCCGAAGCTCTGAAGTTTTACCTAAAATTAGCTTAGTATCCTCGAGCCGATGTAGAAATTAACTACCTATAAAAAAAGAGATCCAATCATGGAGATATAAGAAAAATAATTGGCTTCATGCTAGGATTTTTGTCCTGTAAAGACGTTGAACAGGGAAAAAAACGGCAAGGTATAAAATTAGGAGAAAAAACCATGAAAAATAAAAAGTATTGTAATAAATTATAAGGATGGAATTGTCAATTCACAAGTATTTTTTATTTATGCTCTTTGGATAAATAAGATACCGCCTTTCATTAAAAATATTTTAAGGTCATACTCCTTTTATTAATTTAACATGTTCTTATGTCCTTGAGCCAAATTTTCCCTTGAATAGAATGGATGAGTCTTTTCTTACTTGCATTATTAGATAAATCTGTAAGATTATGAGATGAGATAACATCGTTTTTTGTTTGAATATAACTGACGGCTAAAAATTTGTAATTTTTCTGGAAAGGATAGTTCACTTTGCTAATTATTTAGTAATAATAATAATGTGACAAATTTTTTCAAACAATGTTTTTGTTAAAGAATAATCTGAGTAACCAGAGAAAATAATAAATGTTCGAAAACTAGTGTCCAATACAATGTTCCAAGCAAAGGTTCTAGTAAATTATTTATTTAGGAGATGATATATTTAATTTATATAACTTCTCTACTAGAGACTTTCATATAATAACTTTATAATAATTGAAATATTATGAAATAATTATAATGCTTAAAGGGAGAGAGAGAAGGTGATTAAAAGAAGAAATAGGGTAAGAAGCAAAGTAGGAGGAAATTTACTCATGTATATTTTTGGTGTAATTTTACCACTACATAAATCTCCTATTTATAGTCATCACCTAATGGCAATTTCGTAAATATATAATAAGTAGGTTTACATCAAAATCAAAGTACTATACTTAATAGTATTCTTTGCTTAATGCATGCTCACATTTAATATATATTTTGCCATTCATTTTACAACACTCCCCCTTAGATGGCAAACTTTTTATTGATTACACTTAAATACTACCTCGTTAAAAACATTGCCAAAGAAAAACCCAGTGGGAAAAAACTTTGGCTAAGGAAAAAAGAGTACAGTGCGTAATTTTCTCCCCCTGATAATAACATCGATAATTGTTCACATGTTGTGTAGGCGTCGCATACCGATGTTATGAACATGCTTTCTAAATATTGTAGTAGGAAGCGCCTTCGTGAAGAGATCAGCTGAATGATTATTTGACATGATATATTGAATATCTATGTCATTTTTCTTGATGAGCTCTTGAGTATTTGCGAAGAATTTCGGAGGTATATGTTTCGTCCGGTCATTCTTGACATATCCTTCTTTTAACTGTTGAAGACATGCAGAATTATCCTCATATAAGATAGTTGGACCTTTCTCGACTGGTAGACCACACGACGTTTTGATGTGCTGTATCATCGACCTAAGCCAAACACATTCTCTACTAGTTTCGTGCAATGTAATTATTTCTGCGTGATTTGAAGAAGTAGAAACCAATGTTTGCTTCTGTGAACGCCAAGAAATTGCAGTTCCTCCATATGTAAACACAAATCCTGTCTGAGATTTTCCATTGTGAGGATCAGATAAATAACCTGCATCTGCATAACCAACCAAATCTTGTTTCGAGTCATTAGGATAAAATAAGCCTAAATCAATACTTCCCCAAAGATAACGAAATATGTGCTTGATCCCGTTCCAATGCCTTCTTGTTGGTGATGAGCTGTGTCTTGCTATTAAATTAACTGCAATAGAAATGTTAGGTCTAGTACAGTTAGCAAGATACATAAGAGCTCCAATTGCACTGAGGTATGGTACTTCGGCACTAAGAATCTCTTCATCCTTGTCAGGGGGGCGAAATGGATCCTTTTCAGTTTTGAGTGTTCTGACGATCATAGGAGTACTTAAAGAGTTTTCTTTATTCATATTAAAACGTTTTAAGATCTTTTCTGTGTAATTTGACTGATGTACAAACATTCCATTGTGCATATGCTCAATTTGTAAACCAAGACAATACTTAGTTTTACCAAGGTCTTTCATCTCAAATTCCCCCTTTAAGTATGCAACCACCTCATTAATTTCTTGTAATGTTCCAATGATATTTAAATCATCCACATAGACAGCTATAATGACAAATCCAGATGTTGTTTTCTTAATAAAAACGCATGGGCATAGGACATTATTTGTATATCCCTTGTTTATCAAATAATCGCTTAATCGATTATACCACATGCGTCCAGACTGCTTTAACCAATATAATGATCGTTGAAGTTTGATAGAATACATCTCTTTGGGTTTTACACTTAAAGTTTTTGTCATTTGAAATCCCTCAGGATTTTCATATAAATATCACTATCAAGTGATCCATACAAATAAGCAGTAACAACATCCATAAGATGCATTTCTAATTTTTTAGAAACTGTAAGGTTGATTAAAAACCTGAAAGTAATTTCATCCATAACGGGAGAATATGTCTCGTCATAATCTAGTCCAGGTCTTTGAGAAAAACCTTATGCTACCAAACTAGCCTTGTACCTTATAATCTCGTTTTTCTCATTCCGTTTTCGTATAAAACCCACTTATATCTTACCAGCTTTACAGCTAGTAAGAACAATTGGCCCGAAAACATTTCGCTTGTTAAACGAATCTAATTCAGCTTGTATAGCGTCTTTCGATTTTATCCAATCTTGTCTATTTTGACAGTCAATAACTGATTTTGGTTCAGGATCATCATTTCCATTCATAATTTCATTTGCAACTGTGAAACAAAAAATCTCATTGTCACATTCAACCTCATCTCTATTTAACAGTATATTTGTACTGTTATAGTTGATTGAGATTTCTTCATTTATCCTTTTTGTGTCCTCTTCTTGGGAACTTTCTTCATTTTTCATTATCGCAAGAGATATTTTCTCAGGATCAACGTCATTCACAGTTCCCTTCCTTTTTCGAGGATTTTTATCCTTTGATCCCATTGGTCTACCACGCTTCAGTCATGGTTTAGACTCACTAGTGACTTTATCATTGATTTTTTCTTTCGGAATCTCAATACGGGCGGGAGCATTAGCTGCTAGTATATATGATTTAGTCACTCTTTTTGTGTCAATAAATGAATCAGGCAATTGATTTACAATTGATTGCAAATGTACAATCTTTTGAACTTCTGTCTCGCATTGTTCTGTGTGAGGATCAAGATGCAAAAGAGTTGGTTGATTCCATGTAATATACCTTGCCAATTCTTTCTTTTCTCCCCCTAATATTGGGAAAATAATTTCATTAAAATGGCAATCGGCAAAACGTTCAGTAAAAACGTCGCCTGTTAAGGGCTCAAGATATCTGATGATACTAGCTTATTTAAAACTAACATATATCCTCAATCTCCTTTGAGGACCCATTTTGTACGTTGTGGAGGTGAAATGGATACATATACTGCACAACCAAAAACTCTGAGGTGCAAAAGATTTGGTTCATATCCCAAAGCCAATTGCAGGGGAGAGTATTTATGATCTGCACTTGGTCTTATGCAAATTAAAAAAGCAGCATGTAATATCGCATGGCCCCAAACAGAAACTGGCAGTTTTGTTCTCATGATTAATGGTCTAGCAATGAGCTGTAGTCGTTTAATTAATGATTCTGCTAAACCATTTTGTGTATGTACGTGAGCAACAGGATGCTCAACAGTAATTCCAGTAGACATACAATTATTATTAAATGCTTGAGATGTAAATTCACCAGCGTTGTCAAGTCTAACCCTTTTGATCGCATAATCAGGAAATCGAGCTCGTAATTTTATAATTTGTGCAAGAAATTTTGCAAATGCAACATTCCGGGTTGACAATAAACACACATGTGACCACCTACTAGATGCATCTATTAATACCATAAAATATCTGAATGGTCCACATGGTAGATGTATCGGTCCACATATATCACCTTGGATTCTTTCAAAAAACGTAGGTGATTCATTTTGAATCTTTAATGGTGATGGTTTCATTATCAATTTTCCAAGAGAATAAGCTTCACATGGAATTCCATTACTCTGGGGGATCCTTTGTCCCTTTAAGGGATGACCATGTGTATTTTCAATAATTCTTCGCATCATTATAGATCCCGGATGGCCTAATCTTTCATGCCACAAATTCATTACA